GGGGGGTGAAATAGAAGTCTCCATTGTATCTCAATCATATAAAAATAAAATGTGCCTCATCCAAAATTGTTAATTAATTACAGAAGATTCATCATAAGGAGCAAGTTTTTTTCAAGGTATTTGAAGCAAGTCTCAGTATGTCATTCATAACAATGACTACGTTATATTGCATGCTTACCTCGCCAGAGAAAAATGTTAAAGAATAAAATTTTTAAGGCACACAGCAAGTCTAGAATATACCTAGACAGATATATTCATCTTAAATTTTTTAAAATCCAAACTAAGAGAACCAATATCATGAATTTCAAACCCACCATCCCTCCCCATTTGTCTGCTATAGCAAATAGATTAACCTTGCAATCCAACAAACACAAAACAATTCCATCCACCACTTTGACTCAAAGAGTCAAGAAATACCAGCAAGGCCCACATTTTCCCCAGTGTATCTTGGTCCAGTGACTTTGTCACACTTTGTGGGCCCAGACTGAGCCCACGGGAAACATTCTGAGGTAGACTGTCAGTACTCAAGAATCCATTCAGGAAAACAAAAATGAGAAAGACACAGGTGGACCAGCATGGTATGGAGGAGTATGGCAAGTTAGGCTCAGCAACAAAGGTCATTTCATCAAGAACTTTTTTTACAACTATTACAACGCCCAAATTACAAGTTCAATGCAAAACAGTAGCCAATTGCTAACCAACATAGGGAAAGCATATAATTTTACTAAACTACAGTATTATCCACTAAATAATTGCTCTGCGACTAATACACAATCAAAGATATTATTGATAAGATGAGGTTTTTTTAAAAATTCTTTAGGGTGCAACCTATTTGTTCTATTCCAACAAATTTGGGAGTTCATATGTAATCCTGTGCAAAGATGTATGGCACAGGATCTGGTTCCGAAAAACAACACTATATTATGTGGGAACAATCAAAAGTCATCATGAACAAGTACTTGTTCTTGTACCAGTTGCCTTTTTAAAGTCTGTATAGAGTTGCAGACTGTGGCGAAACATGATCAGTAGGCCCACTTCTACTAATACTAATAGGGCCAACCATAAAAAATAAAAGATAATATCTTGACTTGACCACATCCAATACAATCCTGTGCAGCAAGAAGGGTCGTGTCTTTGCTAGGAAACGAAAACTTTTTTATTTATTGTGTAAGTTCTGATATGAAATAACTTCTTACACAAAAAACAAAAATGCGAGTCCACTGACTCGTGCTAAAGTTTATGGGTGTATTTCAAGCCAACAACTGGAAAATTTTTGCATAAAAATGACCCCAAACAGCATAATAAGAAAAATATGTTCCCGGTGCTACTGGTAGGCCTAACATATATATATATATATATATATATATATATATATATATATATATATATAAAGTAAGCAAGTACAACCTATTGCATGGATTGTCGTGCTAGCAAGACACCAAGGGGCGCATGTACTCTTTAGGTACACAAAGCGGCCAGCGGCCAGTGGGGGGGGGGGGGGGGGGGGGGGGGGGGGTGTGGATGGGCCTCTCTATGCCCAAACAGCCACACATGCTAGAGGATTTCAGTGAACCACTTCAGTGGCTCTTGCTCTTTGTCCACGGTAGCAGTGTACCTTACGATCTATGCCATATGCAACTGAAGATCGAAGCATTCTTCCCGGGCGCAGCTTCGCAGTTGTTGGCAGAAGGCCAATAGTAAGTAACTAGCCTACGCCGGCCGGTGGCAATAGACCTTGGTGCTAGGCCTACAGACTACAGCATCGGCAACCACGAAATAGGTGCACTAGTTATTGGCTGAGCCGGCAAACCCTAATGGGACCTCGAGCCTCTGATGGTACATGTACCTCCAAAGAGTTTACCATAATAATACTCATAACACTGTAAAACTCTCTGGTACCTTTGTGCAGTCTGCCCTTCAACATGAATCACGAACTGACAATCTCCAGCATCAAAATACTGAATTGATCTTCTTCTGTCTTTATCTTGCAATCAGACATTGTACTTTTACCTAGGCTAGAAAATGAGCCTAATGAAGAGTATGAAGACATAATGTATGCGTTACTCTTTCTCACTTGATGAAACATTCCTTTGCACAAGTCAAACAATTGCTTTAACAATTATAATAGATTCAACACACAAAAGAAAAAGTATGAATCATAAAAGGATTTTTTCCCCATTTCTGAAGAGAACAAAATCACAAGAGGATTTAGAATAAAAGGGGGAACAAAATGAAAGCCAAACTGATAAAATTATTAACGATATCTTTATGTACTTAAATGACTACACATTTATTTAAATAGAAAGGAAGGCCCTAGGCTAATGTATCTTTACGAGAAGGGAAAGGTTAAATAATGCTCTAAAATCACATTTCCAACTTCTGACTAGTACAAGGAAGCCAAAAAACTAAACAATGCATGGAGAGCGTGGACTTTAAAAAAACAACAACTGCAGAATTATTATCTTAGAAAACCCCCCAGCAACTCTCAAATATTATGAGGAAAAAAAAACCCGCACACGGCCAGACAGTCGGGTGAAGCCCCTGGTTAACTACTACTGCCCCAACTTTATGGATATTTGTATCTGCATAATATTATATGCCACATGCACCTTTTCCCTGCACTGAAACTTTAGCCCAAGTCTCAAAAGTTTGATTACAACATCTGAAGTATGGCCCAGTATGTTTATAAACCAACCATTCATTCAGAAAAGGATAAATGATCAACAGACTACTGAATAAATGACACCTCTTTTTGCATCATCAGGTTCAAGAGCCTAAGAAGCCAAACTTGCAACAAAAATAAATAAATAAATAAATAAGAGCCATTCAAGTACTGGAGAATATTTTTTAAAGAGTTTATCTTGTGTTAATCTTTATTTGGAAATACAGTGTCATTTAAAGAAAAAAGATTATCAAAAACAAAATAAAGACCATTAACAATAACAAACGCCCTTTCAAAGATCTTGCAAATTTTGAACTTCCAGAATTATTTCATTATTTATTGTTATTTATTAAAAATAACATTTACTTGGAACGGAGTTTTTAGAAAATAAAGTTTTAACAGTGTTAAAATGAAATATATGAGGAATCGTCTATTTCCTAGTGGGCTAGACCTATCAAACAAACAAACTACAGCAGACCCCCCCTTGAACTTGGGAAATTGATAAGATAGATCAATTTTTACATGATTCTTGACAGAGACAAAAAAAAGCTCGATAACAATATTCAGGGATGATGACATAATGGATACTTGTCGATATGATTTTTGTTGTATTCTGAAATCACTATGAAATGAGAGAGAGAGAGAGAGAGAGAGCGAGAGAGAGAGACAGAGACAGAGAGAGAAAGAGAGAGAGAGAGAGAGAGAGAGAGAGGACAAAAGTGACCGATATAATATGTGTGTGTGTGTGTGTGTGTGTGTGTGCGAGATGATTAATTTGTCAAACAAAAATTACAATATGAACAGTATCAAACAGAGGCAGAGGACAAGAAAACAGCTACCTCACATACAGATATAGGGCATGTGATTAAATGTTAGCTGCCTTGCCTGGGAGAAAGATTCAACCATCAACATTTTTAGACCTGTGGCCAACTACTCAAAAAAAGAAAAAAAAGAAAAAAAAAGAAGAAAAAAAAAGGACAAAATTCTTACATAGAATTTAACTCCACAGAACTGTACAAATTCCCCCCATCCCCCAAACTCACACAAAAATTAAATCCAGGAGTGTACATACTGTTGTTTACTTTGTAGTAAGGCATGTCTAACAAAAATACAAACTCATCAATTGCACAGAATCCACTGAGGCACGTATTGTGGTCAGTGGCACATTATCAAATCCAAAACTATTCTGTTAGTGTATGTAACTTTGAGAACCGTCGTTTAGCCTAATTACATTATATATGTGTGAGGCTCGATCTACTTATATAATAATATGTGCAACCCCCCTTCGCCAATACCCATGACACCAAAGTTCATTATGCTCCCACCGCAATTCCAAAATAAAAGTTATTTAAGGCTCCTTGGAATTATTATTCAAAAGCGCACGCAACTAATGTACGTCAAGAATGGGTTGGGGCCGGGTGTGATTAAATTCCCTCGTCGAGGCCCAGGTCGTAAGGCCGTAGGCGGTAAGTAATGACAGGTTGACCTGAAATAAAACCCGACGGGAAAGTATGGCAAAACGATTGTATCATATTTGACGCGTTGTGCGACTTGGCACGCGTGCTTCTTTTCTCAGCCCTTTAACTTTCCCACAACGACAAAAAAATCTTTGATTTTATTACTCAGACACATTTTCCAACCTAATGCATATTTTACTCAACTAGGCTACAGACACAATTCACACCCGTCAGAATTACGAACTGATCTGTACAGTACAACTTGCAATATAATATATAATAGAAAAAAGTCTGATCAAGTTCTGTGGAACTTGTTGCAGGGGACAATTGCGGTATTGTAACGTTTTTTGGGTTGTTTTATTTTTGGACACGGGTGTTTGTCCTTCACGACTTAACTTTCTTAAAACTGTTGCCTTGGCTTACAATAATAACACATTTGGTACAGTTCACTACCACTGTTAGGCCTAAACACTATAATAAACAAAAATAAATCACCCAAAACAGCTCTATACAAATATGAAAGATAAAATTATAAAATTACAAGAAATTATCTGCATTTGGCAAAGAAATTCAACAGCCTAAAAACTATGCTCCAGAAAACGGCAAAATGATGCTTTTAAACAAATGAAACTGACACTGACACTCACTGACAGTATTCTTAATCAGGCACACATACAGAATGTCCCTCTAACAAAAGATATGATTTGTAACTTTACTTTAAAAAAAAAAATCTCTACTCTGGATTGAATTCAAATCTTTTCTTTTATCTTAAAGACCCCTGTAAGCCATTCCAGTGGTTCCATATCAATGGCAATCCATGATCCACCTTTGAGTAGACAACTGAAGTCATTGCTCCGACAAAGACAATATATATAGAAAAGCATTGAACTACAAACTTGAAAAAAGATAAAAACCTGTAAAAAATGTTCAAAACTTAACTAAAGATTTACTCAACTGCACAAAATGAACTGCATCCCATATCCACAGTTCTCCGTGAAATATTTTGATAAAGTGAAATAGCATTATAAAGGTAGCAAAATGAGCTCTGATGTTGATAGAATACAATGAAAAATGATGACAGTTAAACTATAATTTGCGATGTCACTTTATAAGAGCAAGACTAGGGATCATGGACGTCACCTATCACTGGTGACATATAGATTCCTTGATAGAGTAGGTTTCAGATATTGATTTGATGAAGTGGTAATCATTTGCCTTACAGTAAGGACATATAATCATGCGACTGTATTGACTGAAGTAATCCAACCCATTTGAAATGTCGATGACTGCACGTCGACAATGTTTGCAGGTAAGCCTCTTCTGACAACACGGCATCGCAGCAAAGATATCGTAGGTGTACAATGTACCAACCACAAGCGAGGATCCATCCCATGGTTTTTTACATGCTGAACATTTGGCTTCTGCTGCACCCTCCAGACATCCAATGCACACAGAGTTCAAAAATTGAATCCGGCCCTCCCAGATCATCTGAACAACATACTGATCATAAGCTTGAGGAGAGAGAAACAGGGTACCATCCACAAGTGGAAATTTATCAAACACTGGCAACTGAACTTTGCACAAAACACACCGCAGAGCTGTCATGCGCTTGGTGGTAAGATTGCTCAATACAAAGTTACGAGTATCTTCATCTTCCTGCACATCATCAATATGAATATTGTACGGATTCTGTTTATACCTTGGAAGGGCATTGAATGCCGACAAATCATGTCTGTGGCGAAATATTCCTGGCTGAGCTGGATCAAAAATGTCCCCCTTTTTGTTTTTGAAGTATATATTCCCTCCTGTGGGAGAGCTAGATAATGGAGAAAGGGACCCTGCCGAACTTGGTATGCTTCCACTACTGCTGGCCTGACTGCCCACACTACCTGTGCTACTGACACTATTGGTGCGAAGGCGAGGAAAGGGGTTCGTCATTTGAGTATTGGCAGTACCTTGACCATTCAGAGCAACATTGTCAAGCACCTCAGAATCGGTTCCATTCTCGCTTTGACTTGTACTGTTGTTTCTGCTCCTGTTCTTACTGTTCCCAAGCACTGTAGGACCAGTGGAACCAGTGGACTGGTGAGCCGAATTGTTATTTATGGTGTTGTCACTACCACGGCGCTTTGCTATAATGACTGTTGGGGTTGTTGGTTGAATCGTCTTTTTACCTATTTTCGAAGCATTGTCAAGATTTTGAGGTTGGTTGTGATGGCCATGGTTGTCCAGCTGATGCTGGTTGGCTACAGCATTATTGTGGTTGTTGTGACTAGACTTGTGATTTGTGCTCACGACAGGCATTGGTTTATCATTCTTCTTTTTATTTTTTCTTGCTTTTCTCGCGTTATCATTCATAGGAGCAGGGAAATAATCTAAATCCTTGCGCAAGTGTCCCCTCCCACACTTACAATCACAAGCTTTGTAAGCTAAATCATACCCCTTTTTTGTCCACAAGTTCTGCAACCGTTGCTTCTCACTCCAGCTGCGCGCACGTCCGCACGATCGTAAAAACGATAACACAGATTGTTCCCATTCAATAAAACAGTCTTTATGCATCCAGTTACCTTCTTTGCAATTTTCATTGTTGCACACAACTCGAACCGCATCCATAGGGTCTGTGGGATCAATGGGATCATCACTGCAACCAGCAGGTACACAACAAGGTTGGAACCTTGCCTCGGCGTGATCCCCATTGTTGTGGTGGTCTTCGCGATCTCTCATAAAGTTTACATGCTGACCATTCACGTTATTATTGTGCACATCCTCGTGAACATTGCGGTGCCCTTTATGGTGCTTGGTATTAGGCATTATTAACAGTTCAGGATAAACCCACACGTATTCTTTCACAAACAGAAAACCGCACTTCCAAAGACGATGCACAACTGCCGGTAGACAACCTTCTCTCTCAGTTCACAGTGCCGACTCGACCAAGCGATGTTTTGATCCAAAGGAGGTGTGTCAGTCGCGGGCTAGAATTATGAGATGTAACAGCAAATCTGATTGGCTTCTTGAAGCGACGCCGGTCAGCGGCGTATTTCATTGGTCGATCCTCCTGGCAAGAACGTTCATTCTGTTTACATCGAGAATCCCAGTTTGTAGGTCAAGGTCTCAAATCTTGCCGGCAAGCCGAAAACGTAAACACTCTATAAAACTCGCGTGCTCCGCATCGTTGTTCGTTGTTCGGCCATCGTATCGTGAGTACTTGCGACTTTGAAGTAAACTGTACCTATATTGCACCTTTAGTATTTTGAACGGTATAAATATAGTACAACTACAAAGCTGACCATGAGGCAATCGTTGAATCAGTGATCGTAATAGTAATAGATCTATACTAATAATAGTGATGACAGACCGAACATGCCATTACAATGTTCCCTCATCCCTTTTCATTTTGACTCATACATGTGAAAACAAGCAAACGATGCACACAGTCTTTCGCAAACCTACAACCCCCTGTCCCTTTACTTGTACTCTAACATTATTTATTATTATTCAACTATGAAGGTATAGGGCCCACCCCCGCCCGCGCTCACACGCACACGCGCGCGCACACACACATACACACACACACGCGCGAGCGCGCGCGCGCGCACACACACACACA